TGGAATGCATAGGGACATATAATCCGAATAAGTGCAAAGATATGCCCATTGCACCCGCCTCTTTAGTCGGTTGGGAAGAACCGTGATTGTTTCCTCTTTATATCTCTTCCTTGCATTCGTTTGGAAACAGCTTTTAGTTTGTGACCCAACTGGATCGACATGCCCATTAAGTGTTAGAACAGAATTGCTCCTATCAGATTCTCATAGGATATAAAACAAACAAAAGCTGAACACCTCATCGTAGTCCCTTGTTCATTTTTAACTGCAGCATTATAAACCACTATAAAACCACAATCTAGGGACGATTTAAAGCCATCCCCAGCTAAAAATTGAAAATTAAAGTGACACTTCTCTGTCCTTAATATTTAGAATAAAAGAATGTGCTGCTCAATCAAAATTTACAAGTCAATACAGATAAAGCTTATCACCTATCTCTACAACACAGAAAGAATGGCCAAAAGATCCTAATATTCTATCAAGTCTAAAATGGTTACACGAACAGAACCTAGCCACCGCATTGGTCTGGGTAAAACAGAAAATAACAATGGAGGAAGCGCATATCAGAATCCAACCGCAATCTTCAGGAATGCATTGTGCAACTTATGCAGTTCCCTGGATCGGTCCATTTGATCTGTGACCATGGCCTCTTCCGCGAGTTCCCCTTCCACAGCCATGACCTGTATACACGGGCATTGACAAATACATATCAATATCTTTACCGGAATTTTCGCCATCTCACATAGAACTCAAAAGCAATTCAACTATGTCCCGGATGTTCATAATCCATAATCAAGTTTTCCATGACCTTTTTTCTTTCAGCTCCAATAAATCAGTGGATCCAAATAATTATCACATATGAATTTTGAATCTCGACTCCATTTAAATGCGGAACAGAAAATGAGGAATAGAAAATGTGGCAATTATGCAGTTCCCTGAATCAGTCCATTTGATCTGTGATCACGGCCTCTTCCGCGATTTCCCCTTCCATGGCTACAACCTGAATACATGGGCATTGACAAATACAGATAAATATCTTTACCGGCTTTTTCACCATCTCACATAGAACTCAAAAAGAAATTCAAATATGTCCGGGGTGTTCATAATCTACCATAATCAAGTTTGCCATGACCTTTTTTTCTTTCAGTTCCAAGAAATCTCTGGATCCAAACAATTATCGCATACAAATTTTGAATCTTGACTCCATTTAAATGCAGAACAGAAAATTTAGATGTTCAAAACACATTGCTGTACAACTATCCTCAAAAGTATCTAGTTCAGTACATAAGTAGACCTGAACCGTTAATGAAACTCGTATCAAATCAGACTTGTTTGTGAGAAAAAGAATGATTAAAAGAGTACCACAATTCTGAGCAGGTGGTTCTTGATTGTATTCTCTGTCTTGCCGTGGATCAGCATGAGGTCCATTGTATCCTCCCCTTAAGCAGCCACGAAAACCATGTCCTTTTCCTCAACCCTACCTCTAGCATAACCTTGGTCGTGGTCCCACCTCCGCCGTCATCTCAGAATTCACAAAACCAGAAAGCAAACATTTAGAGGATTGCAGTTGAAGCAGAGGGTATATGCCCATCAGCATACAACTCAAAGAAGTACATCAGCATTTTGGTGCCATTACAACAAAGTATGAAAACGATGTAGTTAACCATGATGCAAGATCCTATATCTAAAACACACCCTTCCATGTGATTTAAAAAAATGTTTAGTTTTGTGAATGCAATACCTCTAGCTCTTGGTCTCCCTCTGCCCCCGCAACCTCTTCCTCGCCCATTAGGTGATCCGCCTGTTTAAATGAGGAATATAATTAGAAGAAACCTAGAGAAACAACATAACAGTCACTGATTTCTTGAAGTACTTCCCTCATAATAAAGCTATGATGATGTCTTCATCATCTCAATAGGCAATGGAGGCTGATACCTGCAATATAAGGCACTTGCGGCTTATGATGGATAAAACACCAAGCTCTTAATATGTCTAGCTCTCAATACGAAGAATCAATGGCAAGAGAAGAACACCATGAACTCAACCAACAGCCGATGTGTCCAGTTCCTTCTTTGAAAGAGTTACTGTAATCATCCACACATGCCTTTTGGTCTCCAACCAATCCAAACAAGAGACAGACATTAAATGGAGAAAAAAGAGCAATTATGAGATTGAATATATATGGCCGATCAGTTTGCAACTACACTTACGCGACAATCTCCCGTCTGAATATCAACTTGCAGCTCCAAAAGAACACATCTCCAATGTTGGTTAAGCAAATAGCCCGGTCTTGGGTAGCAGTGGCAAAATTATGACCACCAGTCAATCTGTTAGAGTTCAACGGATACTGTGCCAATGGGCAAATGGCTCAGAAGAGGTCTTGGTTGTCGGCTTGGCCACTTCTGGTATCCCGAATACTTGCCAGAACATTATTTTTTCATCTGCTGCTGCAGATGCCACCGTGCATCCATCCAGACTCTACAAAACAAATACGTGGCAACGAGAATCAGCAAAACGATCAACTCAACAAGCAAACTTCGAAAGTATTTGCACCGAATTGCAGATGACTATGATAACCATACAAGTGGTACCTGTGCCAGGAATAGAACCCTAGATGTGTGTCCAGTCAGCTCTACCATCCTTCCCATAGATGGATACTTCCAAAGAATGAGCTGGTTCTCAGCAAGCCCATGAGAGCTTAGCAATTCCCTCTCCCTGATGCTCCACAGCAGCGCACACGCCTGAGAACCGGTGTCCACTGAATTCAGACACGCGCCCGTGCCCGTGTTCCAAAATTTTATGCTCCTATCGCTCCCTCCCGAGGCCAGTAAGTTGCTCTGAAACGGGCACCAAGCAAGGGCTTTCACAGCAGCCGTGTGGTCTTCGATCCTGTGAAGCCACTGAGTGCCTGAATTCAAAGAGGATCTGGACCTATCCCACAATTAGAGGAGACTATCGTCTCCTCCACTAGCTAGTTGTTTGCCCGAGGGCGACCATTTCAGCCCGCAAACTTCTTGGTGATGTTCCCTATAGGTTTCAACTCTGTGGGATCTAATTCTCACATCAGTGTCGATAATGTTGCATGGGAACCAACTCGCAGTCGATGGCCTCCTCTCAAAGTTCTCAGCTGCATGGAGGAAACAAAACTAGAAGCTAAATATGTAGCCAGAATTAGAACCCGTCAGCTACAGACGAAACACAAACGCCATCACGCTCTTGCTACAAGAAAATGTCATGGTAGATTTAATAGATTTTTGCAGGTGAAGCGACAAAACATTGGAATCCATTTATCAGAATACCTGGGATAATCGAAAAATCCTTGAGACCCGTTTGAAGTTTTCCCAAGAAGTCGTTCACGTCGAATCACCGGCGAGCCACGTAGGACGGTCGGCGATGATGCTACATTAGCAATTTCAGGAGAAAATGTGCCAGAAGAATTACATTGAAATTTTATGCAAATGCTTAGGACTATATTGATAAAATTGAGAGGTCAAGGATTAAATCGGCATCCGCCCAATAGGTTTATGATTGATTTAATAATTATCTCGAACACGACATGTTATCATACCATTCAATAATATGATCTCATAGTCAGTTTATTATTGCTCACATTAATCAATTTCGTTGACATTTTATTGTCCGCATTAAGGTGCGTGATAACTTTGGTGATCGCCTAATTTTAAGATAGCTATCTTGACGGAAGAAGTAATCTGTAAGGGGTGCAAATGGGACTATAAATACACACCATCAACGTTGAGAGGGCAATTGGCTAGAGGTACCCATTTACCGATCCTTCTAGTCTTTGAGTATCTGGTTTTCAACTTCATCAATAGCTGGAGGTTAGTGCAGAATTTTTCACGTTTCCGTAATTATGCATGATTTTTGTTCATGCGTCAATAATCGAAATCTTCAGTTTTTCGCTATTAATTATAACACAACACACTTCACGATCCTTGCACGAACCTTGCACAAATCGTGTTCATATATATTTTTTCTTGAATGGTGTCAGTGTGAGACTTTGCTCATAATATTGCTCTCCTGAAAATTACGAGGTGAATCATGTGATTTCCGGATCCGGATTGACGCCGGTCCTAAAGGTCATTATGGTTCTCATCTGATGCACCATCCTTGTAATCCTCATAAAGAAGCTGCTCAACCCCTCAAGGATGAGGATCGTCCTGAGTCCCGCTTGGCCAACTGAGCGTTATGCTCAGTTTTAGAAGTCGCGAACCAGGTCGGTTGGTAACAAATTCTTTTATTCTTTCATACATTGTCTTGGATTGTTTTCGATTGAATCTTCTTTTTCTTCTCTTTCTTTGCGGATTGGAGAAGGCGAAGGATGCCGAGACAATGAGGTTAGTATTCAACTAACCGGTGAGAACCACAACGACGAGGAAGGGGAGACAAATCTTCAAATGACTGGTGAGAACCGCGATGAGGATGAAGAAGGATGAGGGAGAATGTCCAGAAGATTTATCGAAGACGGACGGACGGACGGAGAAGGTGATCCGAAGTATGGAAATGAGGATGCCTCCTTATCTAGCACATGGTACGATAGGGGTCTCTGCGTCGGTAAATCGTATGGTCGAGGCAAGATAAAATGACTCGTTCCAGGGCAAAACGGTCATATTTCATGTAAAAGCACTACTTTTCTTTATTTATAAATATTTATTGTAATAAATTTGAAGGGTGGTTTTTCGGTCGTCTATACTTGTAGTAGTAGACAATTCAAGGAGGTTTTTGAGTCCGCCTATACCTACGGAAGAATTGAAAAAATAACTCGAATAAAATCGGACACGATAAATTCCGGCAAAGACAAATTTTCTATTCAATCGTTTCGAATTGAGTTTTTCTTAAAAGAGGGAATTCAAAAATCGAAAGAAAACCTTCACTGGTATGAAAAATAAAAATGCTAAAACCATCGCGCAAACTCCAACAATAAATCCTCAGGAGATATCCAGCGTCTAGTTTTGCGTACGAATCGTCGTCACCTCGGAATTTTTGAGATGAGTGACAAAACGAGCAAAATCTGCCCCTTTCTCATCCAATCCAATCCGATCTGATCTGATCTGATTCACTCACAACAGCACCTTTCCCCCCCACAGGCCAAATCTGTTCTTCCTTTTTCGTCTGCGGCAAGCGGAACAGGTCATGGACAGGCGCGGATCATTCCAACGTTCTCGCTAAAATGGGAACCGCCTACATCAGCGTTACGTGGTGCCAGGTTAGCCCTGATTCACCACAACAGCAATTTGACAGCGCGCACTCTTAATCGCGTGATACCGAAAGGCTAAAGTTCTGACGTTTGAGATTATTTGTCATCAACAGCAATTTTCCATGCATTGATTGATGATCCCAAGAATGAACGACTCTCGTCCAGTCCAGCTTAACGTATAAATGCCTTGAAAATCACCTGGGACCGGGTGACTCTGCTAGTAGTAGTAGCCACGAGGAGATCCCGGCGCCGCCTGAGATTATTCTTACGACGACGTTCGACGCTCGCTCACCATCCAATTTATGCTTCTTCATTTTATCTTGGGAAAATGACACAAACAGTCCTTGAAGTTTGATTAAATGTGCAATTTGATCCCTGAACTTTTAATTTGTTCACTATAGTCCCTGAACTTTAACCCAATGTTCAATGTGGTTCCTGAATTTTTTGTATATGTTCAATTTAGTCCCTGAACTTTATAAAAATGTTCAATGTAGTCTTTCTATTAATTCAAGTTCAGGGACTATATTATATATTTTCATAGAGTTCATGGACTAAATTGAACATGTACCAAAAGTTTAGGGACCACATTGAATAAATTAAAAGTTCATGGACTATATTGAATATTAGGCTAAAGTTTAGGGATCAAATTACACATTAAGCCAGAATTCGGAGAATATTTACGTCATTATCCCTTTTATCTTTTTTCCTGACCAACGCACCTTCTTCACCTTCCTCTACGGTTACGTCGACTGTCGGAGAGGAGCGTTGGAATTTCTTGCTTTGCCGGGCGACGAAGTTCGGGAGATTACTCCCTCCCTTGACAATCGGTATCCCTGTTCCTTCTGCGAGTGCTGCTGAGTGGACTTTGTACTTGAAATTTGGTTTCCAAGTGTTGCGTACGGTGTTGAGGGCAATGTCGACTTCTTGGTTGACATTCTGTGGAGATTGATGTTATCTCGAGTCGAGTGTGACTCCAATGTCTTTGACCCAAGTGCGTCCCCCCTTTGTGCAAAGATTAAAATTATTGTTTGACGTTTGTTATGACTTGATGATGATTGCAATTCCTGTTGGCAAGTATTGAAGAATGTCTCCTGTCCCATGGGGTTAAACTTTTGGGTTGATGAAGAGACATGGTCAATTTGCTTTAGGTTTTCAGGCATGACTAACCCGATCGACTCCCCTTGTTTAATTACAGCTCCAAGACCTTATTGCTCGGTTTAGTTTATACTTTCTTAAGCTTTCATGTCATCACCTGCTTGATGAGAATACATTCTCTCCTTTTTTGTCGCCACTGAGCTCAGAGGGGTTTTGATGGTTGATCATGTTGTGTTGACGTTTGGGTCTTTCTGGGTTGCAGATCTGGATTAACTGGGGACACGGCCATCGGAATATGGACCCATCTGGATTGGTTTGCACATTTCGCCGTCGATGCTCGGTATGGAAATGTCGATACCTATTGATTTAAGAAACTGTTGTTAGTTTGCTCAGATTTTGATATTCCATTTGCCTGTTCGAACGCAGACATCGCATTGGAGAGAGAGAGAGAGAGAGAGAGGAAATTCTGCACATTGGCTCTTTCTCCTAACTTCACCTTTAATGCTCTTAGCGGCCATTGTTTTCTGTCTCTTTAGTTATTTATAATGAATGGGCACTTCATTGAAATAGCAGAGAGTTTTACGTTGGGTACCCATTAACTATATAACATCGGAGTGTCGAAAGCACAAAAGAAAGAAAACAGAAAAGCAAAATTAAAGGCCTAACCGAATAAAAAACATTTCCTTTTCCGTGGAAGAATTTAGAACAAGGCTGTTCAACTTTTGCTGATTTGGTTCCCAAGCCTTCAAATTTCCTTATGTTCCTTCCAAGCCTTAAGTTCCGCATATTAGATAATGGAAGGATTTCGGAGTTTTGCTTGTAGATTTTGATTCCTCTGTGCCATTTCCAATAAGAATCATCTCTGTCCCGTTGTTTAGCATGTCCCAGCTGATTCCATCTTTGTCGAACCAGAGTCCGAATAGCAAAAGACACCGGACAGTGAATAAACAACATGATCAACTGGCTGGCCAGAACTTTAACACATGCAACACCAACGTGGTGGCAATTGTTATGGAGTATATGTGCATGCGTGCTCGATTGCTTTCTCTAATTTTGAACAACTTTGTGCTGGCATTAGAGGTGTCAAAATGGGTCTTAAACCCATATATGACCAATTTAAAAATAAATGGGTCATATATGGGTCACTTTAATTTTAAAGAGCCAATCTTAAATGGGTTTTAAATTTTAAAGCTTAAAGATAAATGGGTCTAAATGGGTTGAGTTTGGAACCCATGTCCAACCCATCTATTAGACCCATCCACACACACTCTCTCTCTCTCTTTACAAAAATGTTTTAAAAAATCGAAATTTAATTATTTTTATTTTTTCTCTTTTTCTTTTATTTTTTATTTTTTCTTTTCTCTTCTTTCTTTTTCTTTTTTTTTTTTTTTATTCCGGCCGGTGGTCGGCCACGGCGACCGGCCACCGGGGCGGGACGAGCTCGCCGGAGGCCGGCGAAGCTCGAGCTCGCCGGCCTCGGGCGAGGCTCAAGCCTCACCGATCTAGCGAGCCTCGAGCTCGCCCGATTCCGGCGACCTCGAGGCTCACCCGATCCCGGTGAGGCTGGAGCCTCGCCTGAGGCCGGCGAGAACGAGCTTCGCCGGCCTCCGGCGAGCTCGTCCTCGCCTGTGGTCGGTCGCCGGCCACGGCGGCCGGCGATCGGCCAAAAATAAAGGAAAAAAAAAAAAAAAAAAAAAAAAAAAAATTAAAATTCGATTTAAAAAATAAAAAAAATATTAATTTTTTTTATTTTCTTGGATAATGACTTTATGGAAAATATTTTCTAGAAATATCGCATTTTTCGCAAAACAAATAGAACCTCAATTTTAAAAAAAATTATAAAAAATTTTCACTAGCTTTGTATTGCATAAAATGTTTTAGCAGTATAATTTAAAAAAAAATCATAAGAAATAAGTATTCCTAGATTAGGTTAAATATAAAAGTGTTTTAGCAATATGGGTCGGGTCGGGTATGGATTGGGTATGGGTCAGGTCGGGTATGGGTCGAGATATTTACACTATGAATAAATGGGTCATAAACGGGTTAATGGGTCAATTTGGGTCGGACCATTTATGACCCGACCCAAACCCGACCCGACTCGACCCACCCGTTTAACAGGTCTAGCTGGCATATTGTGCTTGGCCTTGTCAATTGTCAAATTTGATGGTATCGATCCTTCCGCATCTTACACAATGCGTTTGATTTCTTTGCCATCGTGTTTATTGGTGAATTTTGTATTGTAGGCTTCGGGACTTACCCCTGGTGTTATTGATGGAGCCATCACTCATCAGTATCTCTGCTGTTCAGGTTCCCTTTGTTGTGTTCACTATCATGATCATCATTTTAATGATATTACTCCATTGGAGTTCTCTTCTTGGATGTTATATGGAACTAATCTTCATTCGAGCAACAGAATTTGCTATACTCACACTTCATAGCACTAAAAGTAGCAAGTAGCAGTTGAGCTTCTGTAGTATTGGGTTCCTTAGTGTAAGTACCAAAAAGAGCGCACTTATTATTGGGTTTCTTGTCAGGCTCAAGTAAAAGTGGCTTAATCCAGCTAATATGATTTAGTGGATATCTTAAGGTACTTGTGCAGGGGATCTAATTAAAGTTTCTCTCAAGGCTAGTGTTTTTAAAAGAGGACCGATTATGTTACTATCCTTGGTAAGATCTTAGGTAAGACTACTTTGCATAGTAAAGGAACCTACAATATTCGTTACATCAACTTATAACTCATACTCGAAATCTGTAAGCGTGTGTCAGCAAACAAATTTTTCTTATAATTCTCAAGTTTTGGTGCATCGATCAGGAACTGGTGTCACTATGATATGGCGGGCTTTAGCACTGGTGTTCAGGTTAATTTATATAGTTGCAACATGTGGATGCAAACATGTCTTGCATGGTATTTTACATCTAGATGTGGGAGATCCTGAAGTATTTAATGTCTATTGTGATACCAGAATTAATTATATAGATTTGGAAGAATTTGAGTGGTGTTACTTTGAACAACTATTTGTTTATTTCTTTGTGCTCTGAACAACTATTTGTTTGTTCCCTAAATATGCAGTTTCTGGAAGAATACTCATCGGAGCAGCTTTTATCTTTTGTGTAGCGTTTGATGAACTCACATTAATTAAAGATTTGCAGGCATTCTGCCCCTAAATGATTTGCATCTGCATTTTGTCAATCCTTTTTATCCTAAGCTCTTGCTTTCCCTAGAAATCATTGAATATATGAACCCATGTTTGTTAACATAGTCGATTTGCATCTATCGTGTGGCCACGTGAATAGAATGAAGCAACTAATATGGCAATCAACTCTGAAAAGTTCCCTGCAGATATATAAAGAAAGTGGCTACTATTGTGCTTCAACTTTGGTAGATTCAACTCTCTGTCGTTCCCCCCTTTATCTGCTAGTTAGACACCAAAAGGATAACGTGTTAGAATGAGTTGTTATTAAGTGGATACTCATGGAGTAAAGTGTGCACCTGGAATGGGCCTAATTCCCTAAAAAACCCCCAACTTTAGGTTTAGATCCAAATCTACCCCAAATTCTTTTTTTTTTTTTTTGGTAAAGGTAATAATATCTATAACTTTTCAAAACACCAACCCAAATTCTTTTTTGTCCCTTAAAAAACCACAAACTTCTAATGAGTTCCCAAACCTACCCCACGGTTAGGTTTCCGTCCAATGTACATGTTAAAGTCCGCGTACCTATCTAACTTTCTTATTCGCTTTTTTCCTTTTCATTTTCTCTCCCCCCACCCTCGCCCAAGTTCCACATCATTGACTGTTGGAACTCTCCATCTTCTCTCTCTCTCCATCGAACCCAAAGCAAAGGTTAGCAGAAAATTTTCATTTTCTTCTTCAGCATCTGGAGGACCATGAGTCCACAAATCGTATGGTGGTCCGCACCCTGTACAAGGCCCTCATGGCAGGTTGATGCTAGCGAAGGACTCGAGGACACTCGACTTGTCGGAAGACCGGTTGCCGACGATGACGATGCTGGGGGTCTGGATTCCCTCCTCCATGACCAAAAGGTGTGGAAGCTTGTCGAGCAAGGGCAGATCTGGGTGTTGTAGGGGAGAGAGAGAGAGCTCATGACACACAGAGAAGACCAAATGAAATTACCTGCTTGCGTTCTCGGGACCTCGTCGGCAATTCTTGGTTCTTGATCATCCTCCTCTGCTTCTGCTGCGTGGCCTTATCCACCGGCTCCTCCACGGCCCTCCTCTTCCCTCTCCCGACCATCAATCTCCCCACAATTCCGCCATTGTTGTTACTAACGCCGTCGCCCACGCCCACGCCCACCGTCCCCCCCACCTGAATCAAATGCCCGTTCAAATCCCCCGCCGCGTCCCCGCAGTAACCCCCTGCTCCCCCACCACCACCACCACCACCAATCCTCACGTCCTCTTCCCTCACAGCCCCGTTCTTCATCAGGAAATCCTCTAGAGTCAGCTCCTCCTCTAACATGCCGCTTGCCCGGTCGCTCCCCGCCACGATCTCCTTCCACACCTCGTCCACCGTCGTCCCGACTCCGGCGCCGCCCCCGCCCGGCAGCGACACCCCGCCGTGGTTGAATAGCGAGGGGTCGGCAGTGGCGGGACTGTCGTCGGAGTAGATGTTCTTGAGGAGGTAGTCCATGGTGACAGCGCCGGAGCTATCGGCGGCGCTGGCGGCGGCGGCGGCGTGGCTGCCGTTGTGGTGGTCCTGGAGATTGGAGATCAGAGCGGAGAGGGAGGATGATATAGACGACTGGAGCTGCAGATCCCGATTCGCTCTCGACGACGTCGTTGGGGTCATCACCTTCGACGTCGTTAATGTGGGACAGAGAGAAAGAGAGTGACAAAGAGCGAGAATTATGAAAAAGGTGGACTTGGGAGATAGTGAGGAGAGAGAAAAAGTCAATTAAAAGAAGACAGATTGACACGTGGCACAACAGTGGACTTAACCATGTAAATCGGATGGAAATGTAACGGAGGGCAGATTTGGGAATCCATACAAAGTTGGTGGTTTTTTATGTAGCAAAAAAAAGTTTGGGGCAGATTTGAGTCTAGACTTAAAGTTTACGGTTTTTTAGGGAATTAGGCCCCTGGAATGTTTAGAACTTGGGCATAATTGGGTTTGAAGGACCGAAGGAATGTCGCCTGGTGATACACCTTGGGTCATTGTTGGATCGTTTCCATACATTTTGTTTGTCTTCCATCATTAATTTTTCATTTAAACATTGTTATTTCGTAATCTTGCTATACTCTCTGGAAATACTGAGTTTTTACACTGGGTAACCTGGAATCTTTTTCAGTTTCTTTTCTGTAGTTTGTTGATTCTGTCTGTTTTTCATGCGGTGGTTATGCAATACAGATAAGTCCTCTCACGAGCCATGGTTAGATTGAAGTATGTTCCTTAGTATTGGATGATAGCTGGATGTTTGGTCGAAATGATCAAAAAATTTATTCTTTTCTGTTTTTCTATCTTGCAGAACTTCTGGTCCGTACTTGGCTGTAATTGACATTTGTCTTGATTGTTTGGGCATTTTTTGGACCGTCATATAGATGCTTAGCAAGGGGCGAAAGAGCAGTTTTTCAAGTTTATCCAGAAAGTATAGCCTAGTGTGAGTTGATTTTGAGTTCTGCCATGCGTGCTGGATTGCAGGTGGTGTGGTGGTTGACTACCCGCACAGGTACCTATATTATTACCCGAACTTATGTTAGTGTTCAACATTGATGGAACGACATTTGTTGTGCACATCTTTGTATATATTCTGTCAGTTGGAAGTCATTCGTTAAAGTAAAGTTTCTGAGAGCGGAATAAGAGAGCTTTCATTGGAGGGGAAACGCCCTTTTCTGTAATTTTTGAAAGTTGGTTGAAAATCTTATACTTTTGGTACAGCGGAAAGTCATGTGTGGATGGAAATGCTTTAAATTAACATTGTACATAATTAATCTAGTAACTGGACTCTTTTGGTTATGAGCTCTTTTTGTATGCCGGTTTCCACTATCTTGGTGCCCTTCAGTAATATTTTCTTTTACCGATCAAGAAATAAATTAATTTTTGAGAAATTACTCATTTCTGTTTTTTTTTACACCTTGATTTCAGTAAGTTGCCGAGCATTCCTTGGCCAAATCGTGGAGGTGTGGTGGTGCTTAAAATGACGGATTGCTCGATCGATTGCTGGAACAACATTACTCAAGGTTAGTTCAATCTAAACTTAGAATAGGAGGAAATGTATGGGTGAATGTTATGGCCTATTGCATGTATGATGTAGAGGATGGCCATTGATGGATATTTATATGGGTGAGCCACCCAAATCTGTGGACCGTCCATGTCGGGTTAGCCCAACCCATGACCCATCATAAGGGCCCATCTCAAGTAATTGCTGTGGCAATCACTCAAGGATCATGTAACTGCTATTAGCGGTCTTAATGGGAAAATAAATCTCATGAGATAAATAGAGTAATAATGAGAAAGGAAAAATGAACATAATCACAATCACAAAATGAGGAAGACGTTCTGATGTTCTGTAGAAGACAATGTTTTCCTCTCTGCTCTCAAACCCTGAAGTGCGATCCGAGGAACTCTTGAACCTGCGATTAGAGGCATTTAATTTGTGGAATCAAGGTATGTTATTTATGTGATATGCCTGTACGATCGGTAATACAAGTTGACGATTACCAAGCACGTTTTCCGCATTGTTAGAATATGTTTCGAATATGTTCATCTAGGAATATGTTTCCCCTAGATTGGTATCAAAGCACGCTTACTTGTTTCCCGATCATGAATGTCGATAGCCTCTTAATTTTGAGTGGTTTCTGCCCGTTTTTTGTTTTAAATCTTGTTTTTGGCCCGCTTTCTTCACGTCGACGTACTGTATATACTTATTCAATTAGCGTACGTAGTTTTATCTTGGGCATGATTCTCGTTGTTAGATGGATTTTTTTTTTGAAAGTATAGATTTGCCGGAAAACGAAAACTGTACTGGACGGTCGCTCAGTTCCAAAAAACCACACCCGACCGTACTGTTTCGGGACCGCTTTTCGGAGTTCTGGCTATCGAAAATATTTGTTTGATGATACGGGGTGGTAGATCTCATAGAGACAAGAAAAACGAGGAGTGGCACGACGCCGGGAGGCACCGCACGCGCCCCCACGCGTGGCTGCAAGGGGCGGCCGCACCTCCACGCGCTGGAAACGTCTAGCGCGTGGGCGTCACCCGCCCTTCAAGGCGGATGGCTTGACGTCAGCCATGCGAATGGCCAGTCGAGCCGACCTGACCCGGTTGACCCGGTTGACTGACCCATTGACCAACCCACTGACCCGACTCGCGAACCGATTACTCCGGTCGGACCGTTGACCTAGTTGACCCAGATCGTTGACTTTGACGTCCGACCCGTTGACCTTAAAATGTAAGGGAAACATATTCCTATATGAACATAATTGAAACATATTATAACAATGCAGAAAACGTGCCCGATAATCGTTAACTTGTATCACCGATCGTATAGGTATATCGCATAAAGAACATACCTTGATTCCACGGATTAAATGCCTCCAATCGCAGGTTGGAAAGTTCCTTGGATCGCACTTTGGGGTTTGAGAGTAGAGAGGAAAACGTCGTCTTCTATAGAACATCAGAACGTCTTCCTCATTCAATGATTGTGATTACGTTCATTTTTCCATTCTCATTATTGCTCTATTTATCTCATGAGATTTATTTCCCCATTAAGACCGTTGATAGCAGTTACGTGATTCTTGAAAGTGATGAAGTAGACAGCCCCATGCCTTGCTCTTATATTCATTGAACCACAGATGTTTGTGTGAATTAATTACAAAGGAAACTCAACTCTTGTTCCTTTTCCAAATGGTTTCCTTGTTTTTCCCGCTAGGCAATGCTCACAAACAAGTAAATCGACTTTTTCAATATTGCCCAATAAACCCTCTTTAGCTAATCTATTCATTCGTTGTTGGCCAATATAACCAAGTCTAGTATGCCATATATTCACATTATTATCATAAGATTCAGAAGATGCAAATAGGGAATAACAAATATTCACATTACTGTATTCAACATCCAATACAATAAAACCATCTAGGAAATGTCCTGAACTATAATAACTCGTACTTAAAAACAAGTCAACACTACTATTATGGAAATTCAAGCTAAAACCAAGTTTAACTAACACCAACACAGAAACAAAATTCTAACGAATTTATGGAGCATACAACACGTTATACAAGAACAAGGTGCGACCACCATGCATTTTTAATTGGCAGGTGCCAATCCCTTTGACTTCTGCTCTAAAGTTGTTCCCACATAAATCCATCTCGCTCCATGTGGAATTCATCGAAACTCTATGAAGGAATCTCTGTTCTTTGCTATATGGTATGTGGCTCCCGAGTTTACAGTCCACAAAGGATTAGATTCGGTCAGAAAAACTGAACTTGACACATAAGTAGTGCTCATATGAATAATAAGAGTGTCTACCTTTTTCAGCTCACCACGGTTGCAAGTAAAGTGACCCTTCTTGCCACAGTTAAAACATTTTACCCTTGAAATGTTCATCTTTTTGAAAGGACGCTTTCCGTTCTCCTATTAGTTGACTCTTGATTTCTTTCCTGAAGCACTTGCTCTCTTGACCTTCCACCTCTTGAACCCTCATAAGCGCTTGCGCTCGGAGCCAGAAGCCTCATGTGAGTTAGGACCAGCAAAATAGATGTCAGATTCTAGTTTAACCGCCAGGAGGCGATCCTCTTCCAGCTTAAGGTGGCATATTGCATTCTCAAAAGTTTTTATATTCTCATTATGGGTCAGGTGGACTTTCGTATGCTCCTGGCTTTAGGGTAGGGAATGGATAACTGCTTACACTTGCTGCATATCGGTTAGAACATGGCCAGCATCCTTGAGCTCACTAATCATGGTTGACACATGCCTCCTATGTTGTTTCATGGTCTAACCATGATGCTTCTTATATGAATCAAACCTAATTGTGAGTTTCCTCAGTTTAGTCACAGAAGTCTGACTAAACTTAGCTGCCGGTGCTATCCACATATCTTTGGCATTGTCAAAACGCCTGAACTTTCGCATGATGTCATTTTCCATGCTACTCAGCAACATAATGCGAGTAATAGAGTTCTTCTTTTTCCAAGTAGCAAATGCTTCTTTGTCTCTTATATGTTGTGCAGTATTCCCATCTTCAGGCTTTTCCATAACAAGGTTAAGAGCTTCCAGTACCTCTTGCTCGTCCAGTACAGGTTGGATTTTCATATTCCGGATTTCATAGTTATTTCTATTTAACTTTTCTCATTTGTTCAGTTCAGCAACTATGTTCTTTGATGCTGAAGCCATGGTATCTGAACATTTCAGACATATACGCACAAATTGTTAATGCCTCTTATTTATGCATCAGTTTTACACAAACTGATTACATTAATGAGTAATTTCACATAGGTTTAAGATTCGAAAGTTCACTTTGTTACACAAACTGATTACAAACCGTCTCCCTCCATTCTCTCTCTCTGTCTCTCTTCTCGCCCAAGAAACCTCACGCACTTCCACCGGCACCGTCTTCGTCATCACCGCCGATTACCGTTGATCGGAGCTCGGCCGTTCCTTCCCCTCCCCCTCTCTCGCGGCCGGAAATTCCAGCTCCTGCCATGGCCGCGACGATCGAGCTGAAGGACGAGGGCGAAGGGGAGCGCGTGGCGACCTCCGATTTCTTCTTCGCCCGGATTGGCGACCCGGTGCCGGTCAACTCCCCGGGGGGCGGCGGCGGCGGCGATGCTAGGCCGTACGGCCCCGGCCGCCTCCCGTCCCGGCCGCTCGCCGTCTCCGGGCCGTTAGACCTCATCTTCGTGGCCCACTCCTCTGGTGAGTTTGTAGACCTCGATATGTTTGTCCGATTGGCAGCCTATGGCGGTGCGATTTGGTGCTAATCGTGCTCTGGTCTGTAGGGTTTTGCGTCGCGCGGACCTGGAGTGTGATGGAGTCGGCGAAGAGGATTAAGGAGGGGTTGAGAGGTCGTTCCGTGCGGGACCTGAGCATCGTGAACGTACGCATGGGGCCTGTTGGCTTGCTCTCGCTTTCTCCTGATTCTTTGAGGCTTGCGGCTTCTACTGGGAGGATTGTTCACTTCTTCTCGGTTGAATCGTTTCTCAATAACGTTAGTTCAGACTCAGAGTCCCTTTTGTTAGATCATGCTATATGTTTATATGAGAAAATGGCTGAAACTTTGGGGCCCGAATTCCTTTTCCAATTGCACTCCCGACATGTGCAGATCCTTGAAAAAAAGTCGACTTTTTTCTCGTCATGTTGTGATTCTTTTCTGAGCATGTTCATTGAGAATTCTTGTTAGATGCTGACCGACGCCTATGTTGTTACATTCGGTTCGGATTAGGAATAGGTATAGCTGGCCCTGCGTTTTGGACATTTTCCTGTATATGCTCTTTTGGCTTTTGGGAATTGAGATATCTCTAGTTACGTTCGCTTTCGTTTTATATCTGCAAATGATTATAGGGTTCAAGTTATCCTCCCTTAGCAATGAGCTAAAATGACAGAATCATGAGCTAAAATGAAGTTGGTGGACGGTATCCTCCCTTAGCAATGAGCTACAGTCCTATAGACGTGGATGCTTAGTTGAGTTTTATTATCCTGGTCTAGCTGGAGCCTCGTTTTGTGGGACATAGACTAATGTTTCGTTAATAAATCTGATTTATTAGGTTGTACTTACATTGACAATTGTCAGCTTTGTGCATCTGATGCACTGCACATGTACAAAAATCCAAACCATATTTTGAAATAGGCGGTGATTGCTTGCAGTTTGCATTTTTATCCCCTTATTTATCTTTATTCTCCATAGGTTTTGCATGCAAATTATTTGCTAGGTCGACTTAAAACCAAGAAATTGAAACACCTTGACGTGGGGTTGGAAAGAGAAAGCTTCCTTTTATCCATTAACATCATGTGCAGTTCTTAAAATTCTGCATTTCAAATTATATCTGATGAAATTATGTTGTCTTTGACTCTTGTTCTTCTTTCATAAAGGAGTAATACATATACGCTTTTTGACTAGGGTTTGCTTCTAATTGAGCCCTTCAATTGTGCAGCAGGAACGATATCTTTTTTCCTGCTGATTAGGTGAAGGAAGTTCTCTAAAGGACATGAAGTGGCTAAAGAAGGGACATAATTCATACATTCTTCTGACAAGTCGCGGGAACCTGCATCTTCGGAGCATTAATGGACATTTAAAGTGTTTAATGGATAATGTTGATGCCGGTATGCCTTAAAAATCTTCATACTTCTTCACTTAGGCTCTGCTTATTATGAGTGGTAGTTTAAAACAAGTTTGTTTTGTAGAGACTTTCGTTGCTTGTCACCCTTGATTTCCATGCTGCTTCTTTGTTGCGGTATCAATTCATGCTCGAGAACATGGACTCTGTTTCAATATGTTCTTTTCTCCCCTTGAGTTTGAGAGACTCGCATATATACTGCTGATTATTTGTATTTAGGAGGATAGACTGAACTATACATAATATAAAAGCTGGTGCATCCATAGAGCGTTGATGAAAGTTTGAAAGTTCCACCGAATATAGCTTTTCTTATATGGCTGATAGAGTTGACGTGAAGATTACACTTGTCTTGCTCTATTAAATTAGCATGCTGTCTTCATTTGTATTGTGTGCTTATGGGAGATTGTTTAATCGGGATGGCTATCTGATCCAAGAAAGTTGGGTGCTGAAAGTTCCATGAGTGGATCGAATGCAGTGGATTGTTTTTCATATATAATTGTTGAAGGAGAAAATACTGACGTATCTATTTCTCATATTTACAATAGTTACAACAAGTCTCTATTTATACACAACAGGAACTAGTAAGAGATAAGTCCTATTTGAAAACTTATTTAATAGGTAGTTGGTAGGATGACAGCTAACACTAATTAATAGCTAATTAATAGCTATGACAGCTAAATAACACATTCCAACATGCTAATTAATAGCTATGACAGCTAAATAACAAATTCCAACACTCCCCCTCAAGCTGGCATGAAGATATCTTCCATAGACAGCTTGCTCACTAGATGGTCAAATTGTCTTCGTGCAAGGTCCCTTGGTCGAATGTCGCAGACTTGTTCATCACTTGAAATATACGGCATACAAATTAGCCCTCTATCAAGTTTTTCTTTGATGAAGTGTTTATCAACTTCCACATGCTTTGTTCGTTCATGTAACACAGGATTATGAGCAATAGCAATTGCTGCCTTATTATCGCAATACACTTTCATTGGTGTGGAGCTCAAAAATTGTAGTTCATCCAAGATGCCTTTAATCCACATAACTTCGCAAACACCATGTGCTACGGACCGAAACTCGCCTTCAAGCACTACTTCTTGCCACCACACTCGCTTTTTACTCTTCCAAGTGACTAAATTTCCACCAACAAACGTGCAATAGCCTCAAGTAGATCTCCTATCCATACCGCTCCATTAATCGCATCGGTGAACACCTCAATTTCCAGATGTCCATGTTTCTCAAACATTAGCCCCTTACCAGGACTTCCCTTCAGGTAGCGTAGAATTCTGTATACTGCTTCAAAATGCCTTGACCCTGGTGAGTGCATGAACTGACTAACCATACTTACGGAAAACGCTATGTCAGGTCGAGTGTGAGATAAGTAAATAAGTCGACCGACAAGCCTTTGATACCTTTCTCGGTCTATCACTTCTTCAGCCTTAGCTGGTTCAAGTTTCAGATTTGGCTCCACGGGTGTATCCGCTGCTTTACATCCTAACAAACCTGTCTCTTTGAGCAAATCAAGTGTGTATTTCCGTTGGTTTACGAATATGCCTTTCTTGGATCTTGCAAATTCTATTCCAAGGAAATATTTCAAAACACCCAAATCCTTAACTTCAAACTCCTCAGCCAGCTTCTTTCGCAAGCTTTCCAACTCAATTTTGTCATCACCGGTTAGTATTATATCATCAACATAGACAATTAGAATGGCACGCTTACCTTCCTTTGAGTGTTTATAGAATAGAGTGTGATCCCCTTGACTTTGGTGATAGCCGAACCTTTTAATCACTTTCCCGAACCGTTCAAACCACGCTCTTGGAGATTGTTTAAGTCCATACAATGACTTTTTCAATCTGCAGACTTTTCCTTCATTTTCTGCAAAACCTGGTGGCAAACTCATAAACACTTCCTCCTCCAAGTCACCATTCAAGAACGCATTCTTCACATCTAATTGGTATAAGGGCCAATCAAAAACAGCAGCCAAAGATAGTAAAATCCGAACAGAATTTATCTTGGCAACTGGGGCAAAAGTCTCTTGATAGTCAACTCCATAAGTCTGAGTGAACCCCTTTGCCACTAGCCTGGCTTTATACCGCTCAACACTCCCATCAGGTTTACATTTTATAGTAAATACCCATTTACAACCAACAATCTTTTTTTCTTCCGGTGTATCAACCAATTCCCATGTGCCATTCTTTGTAAGTGCCTGCATTTCATCCTCTACTGCCATCTTCCACTTTGGATCCTTCAAAGCGTCATGGATATTTCTAGGAATGGATATGTGAGACAAGTTTGACACAAACGCTTTATGATGATGAGACAATTTTTTGTACGACACATGTTTTGATATAGGATGCTGAGTACATGATCTAACCCCTTTTCTAAGAGCTATAGGCATATCAAGATTAGAAGTATTAATATCAGAATTTGAGACTGGAATGGAGGGAAAAAAAGTACTTCTAGGATCACCTGATGACGAAGGCAAGGAATCATCTCTCAGGGTTGCAGACAGATGAGGCTCCAAGACAAAGTTCTGATCAGCAACCTTTTGAAGAGTTTTTCTTCTAGTATAAACCTGAAGCTCGGGCTTGTTAATCACATTTTGAACTTTTTCTCCCCCTGTCTTTGACACATCAAGGTCTGGCAAAGGTTTTTCCGAAGACTCAGACAAAGGAGTGGGAAGAACAGGAGAGTTTGATTGCCACAAAATCTCTTCACTAACCTCAGCATTCTCCCCCTGAAGAGATGTGTTGGAAAAAAACGATTGCGACTCTAAGAATGTGACATCCATAGTGACATGAGTTTTGCCAGTATGTGGATTGTAACACTTGTAACCTCTTTGGTTAGGTGCATATCCTATAAACGCACACTTTTCAGCCCGAGGATCTAATTTAGATCGACACTGACTGGGGAGGTGGACAAATGCAGTGCAACCAAACACCCTTAGAGGAATATCAGAAAAAATACGGGCTGTGGGGTACACTTTTTTTAAGCAATCTAAGGGAGTAATGTAATTTAATACCCGAGTAGGCAGCCTATTAATTAGATAAGATGCTGTTAACACAGCTTCCCCCCATAAATATTTAGGCACAAACATTGAAAATCTAAGGGCACGAGATACTTCAAGGAGATGGTGATTTTTGCGTTCAGCAATGCCATTCTGTTGGGGTGTAATTCGGCAAGTGGACTGGTGAAAAATGCCTTTTTCTCTCAAAAAACTCCTCAAATACTGGTTATAGTATTCAGTACCATTATCGGTACGAAGAATTTTAATAGTAGTGCTGAATTGAGTCACAACCATTTGATAAAAAATTTTGAACAGAGACTCCACTTCAGACTTAGCACTCATCAAGTATGTCCAACATAAACGGGTATGATCATCTGTAAAGGTGACAAACCATCGTTTCCCAGTTTTTGTTGGCACGGGTGAAGGACCCCAAACATCACTATGGATTAAATAAAATGGTGATGATGCACGATACTGTTTTGGACTATAATGAGTACGATGACTTTTAGAAAAAACACAATTGTCACAATGTAGCGAAGAAATATCCACACCTTTGAACAAATGAGGAAACAAATATTTCAAGTAGCCAAAGCTAGGATGGCCTAATCTTTGGTGCCAAACCATTATTTTTTCTTGAAAAGAGGAAGAACTGAAAACAGAGGAAGAACTGAAAGTTCCAAACGCCTGAGCTTTTTTATCAAAGAAAAACTCTTCAAAATAGTAGAGACCATCCCTCATCCTAGCATTGCCAATCACCTTCCCCGAGATCTGATCCTGAAACTCACAATGGGAAGCAAAAAAGACAACACGACAGTTAGACTCTGAAAGTGGAATTGATCCTTTGCCTGCAATAGAATCTGAAAGTGTAATAGAATCTGAAAGTGTAATTGATCCTTTGCCTGCAATAGACGAAAAACTCCCATCGGCAACCCGAATTTTTTTGTTGCTGGGACAAGGAACATAAGATGTGAATAAATATGGAATATTAGTCATATGGTCAGATGCCCCTGAATCGATGATCCAAGGTACAGATTGCGAACAACAGGAGAGGGCTTTTAAATTTCTACCTTGGTAGGCAATCGAAGCAGTAGGATTACCCGATACAGACCTAGCTTGAAGTAGTTGCAAAAGATGGTCTAGTTGTTCTTTGCTTGAAGGGGATATGGTGGCCTCGTTAGCTGCAGGAGGCACATGCTGAGATGGTTCTTCTGACATAGTGATCAAATGATCAAAGAGAGAGACCAGAAATTTTTTTTTTTTTTGGGAGAGGCTGGTGGCTCTTCTTAGGAGAGAAGTGATGATGCAAAAGAGACCTGCTCTGATACCATGTTGAAGGAGAAAATACTGACGTATCTATTTCTCATATTTACAATAGTTACAACAAGTCTCTATTTATACACAACAGGAACTAGTAAGAGATAAGTCCTATTTGAAAACCTATTTAATAGGTAGTTGGTAGGATGACAGCTAACACTAATTAATAGCTAATTAATAGCTATGACAGCTAAATAACACATTCCAACATGCTAATTAATAGCTATGATAGCTAAATAACAAATTCCAACAATAATGTCTTCAAGTACATAAGAAATGTGCATGGAAAGAAAGAAGGAAGAACAAAAAAAACACATCAGAAGACTATAGAGTTTTAGAAACATGTCCAAAGCCGAATAGAGGAGCACAACACAGAAGTAGCCGAAGATTCAAGTACATCAGAAATGTCCAAGGAAAGAAAGAAAAAAAAACGAAAATAACCAAGGTTGCAGTAAACACTGCAATGACCTCTGGAGTGAATCTTGCTGTGGCTTTCACAAAATATTCTTGTAGAGTACCTTAACCATCATTTTTTGTCTAGCTTGGTGAAGCTCTTTCTGTTTAGTGTCTGCGATCTTGCTTTCTGTTGTATTACTTATTGTTGTTTGTTTGCATTGTGATTTGGTTTGATTTCTAGGGTTTTTGTTTAATATCAATTCATGCTCAAGAAAGTGGACTCTATTTCACTGTGTCCTTTCTCCCATTGGGTTTGAGAGACCAACTTAGCTATTGCTGATTATATGATTTTGAAGGATAAATTAATTGTACTTAGTACCAATGCTGTTGCATCTGTTGAGCCTTGACTTGAAAGTACCATTGAATAGCTTTTCTTACTTATAGAGTTGACGTGAAGCTCGCGTTCAGTCTTTCTTTTAAATTAGCATGCTGTCTTCATTTATATTCTTTGTTTATGGAGAGCATTCACCTGTGATGGTTACCTGATCCAACAAATTCTGCCGCTAAAAGTTCCATAATTGGATCAACCATAGTGTGTTGTTGATCAGTGTATTTGCATACACTGTGATGAGCTCTTGAATCTCGCTCTGTCTCACAAAGTATCCTTGTAAAGTACCTTAACCATTAATTATTGTCTAGTTTGGTAGTGTTCTTTCTAATTACTTTCTGCAATGCTACTTTATGCCGTATTACTTATTTGTTGCGCGATAATGCTGCTTGATTTGTGGTTCTCGTTTTATTTTAGTTTCAATTCATGCTCAAGAACATGGACTCTATTTCAATGTTTCATTTTCTCTCTTTGAATATGAGAGACCAACTTATCTAGTGCTGATTATTAGGATTTCAGAGGATGAACTAAACTATACATACTACGAATTGACGTGAAGCTTGCGCTTAGCTTTCTCTTAGCATGCTGTCCTCATTACATTGCGGGGTTCTGGTAGATCATTCAAATCTTGATGGTCATCTGATCCAAGAAATTCTCTTGCTAAAAGTTCCATAATCGGATCAAACATACAAACTTTCATCATTCTATTACCCATTCGTATTACAATGAGCTCTGGAACGAACTCTGCTCTGGCTTTCACAAAGTATGCTTATAGAGTACCTTAAACATCATGTTTTGTCTAGTTTGGTAAAGTTATTTCTGTTTACTTCTTTAATGCTGCTTTATGGTGTATTAATTATTTGTTTGGACGGTAATGCCTTAAAATGAACATGAAAAATTAGCATAGTCGTTCTCGTTATTCTTCATTCTCTGTTTACGCCTTTCTCCTTTCAGTTGACTGCAGTGCAAAAGAAGATTATATTGCTGTGGCAAGGAATGGCAGCCTAAGTATTCTTTCATCCAAATTAAATGAGAAGTTGCACATCGCATTGTCACTCCAACCACGGACAGGAGAGTCTGACGAATTTAGTGTGAAAGGTAAATCGACTATGATGTTCAAATTTAGATGTTTTGTCTGGCAATTTGCTTATAATTTGTTATCTGAAGGCATACCTTCCTATAACCCTGAGTAGAGGTTAGTTGGAAGATGATCATTTATGCTGTATCTTTCACTGAGATTAAATTTTGGATAAATAATAGGGTCCTTCAGATAAAGTTTGCTCCATATTTGCACGTGCAAGGGTTTGTTTATTTTCATATATGGATTCTACTCAGACTTGAATTCTTTCTAAGGAATAACTTTGGTCTTTAAGGTTTTTAATGCGGGTGAATTTGTGAACAGTGGATTCTCTCAAGTGGGTTCGTCCCGATTGCATCGTTCTAGGGTGCTTTCAACTTACCTCAAACGGCATGGAGGAAGGTTATCTTTTGCAAGTAATCAGGACCAGAGACGGCAAATTTTTTAATGTGGGCGAAACAATCCTTGACACAATTTTCACTATCAATTGTTTAATCTTCAAAAATATTTGGCAAATATTATCACTATCATCGTTATCATCATCATCATCATCATTAAGCAGCTAGAGAGGTTCATGAGCAATCTCCTTTAGTAACTAGAAAAGTTAATTTGTATACTCTTGTGTACTCAAAGAACAATTAACAAGTGACTTTTCTGAACTTGATTTCAGTATGATTTTGTGGTAATTGGCTTGGAATTGAAGTAGTTTTAGTCTCTACTTACTAAATCTGGTCGCACTGATCTGCCATGGTCCCTTAATTACCACATTGTCTTGTATTGTAAATTCTTGCTGTGATGGTTTCCAAATTCCTCTTGTAATTAAATTGTTTCGTGTGGAGTCCTGTGACATAGTTATTTTTTCTCTCGTGCCAGTCTTAACATTTATGTTCTAATCAAAATTGTACTGTTTGAAAATGTCATTGGTGACAAAAGAGAACTTTTTGGTGCACTTGCTGTCGTGGCTATACAAAGTTTCTACAAATATCTAAACGAGTCCATGGCTGCTAGATGTTGCAACTAGGATGTGAAGGAGAGGGCATATTCCTATGTCTCGATAGTTTTCCATTTTCATATGATGACATGCAAATGGTGGCTTGCCATTTGTTATATGTATAGCAACATATTTGAATGTGGGGATGCTGTTCCCGTTGAATGACGTCCTTAGGACTATGTTCAAAAATTTAAATTTACAATATGATGATTTAATTAGTCATTTTGGTAATATTCATTTCTGTAGGCTTCTTCTGAGGTGATACTGCAGTCCTTTTGTGATGTTTTCCCTGGAATTGTGGATGATATTATTCCCGCAGGATGTGGGCCGCATCTGTTCTTTAACTATTTGGAACAACGGTAATGTCCTAATTTTTACTTTCTCTCCATATTTTATTTCTTTTATTTGTCCTTGAGACTATTGCTTGCACCCCTTATCATATCTCGTTTGAGAGAGTCATAATTTTAGAATATTTCAATTTGTTTTTCTTTTGACTTGTGGCCATTTAATACGTGATTTTTTATCACTTGCGTCAGGTGCAAAGCCCTGATTTTGGTCTAATTATCTTATGTTGATACTTGTTAAAATTTGGTCTTCCATCATGGAAATAACCCAATTGGCAAATTAACACGAGTTGCATGCCTGTTCACAAATTTGAACTTCTTGCTTTGGTTCTAATAGCACATTGATCTCATGAGAAAGTTAAACTGACAGATTTCCTCTTTTTTCCTACTTATATAGATATTTGACTTTTGAAAATACCGTCAGAGATTAGCTACTGCATTTTTTCCTGCTGCAGTATCCACGGAAACCATATTGTATAGCAGATAAAGGCTAACCTCTTTTCTTCTTCTCATTTCAGCAAGCTTGCAATTGCAGCTAACCGACAAAATGTGGACCAGCACATTATCCTGTTCAGTTGGTCGCTTGGTGAGGAGATGAATGAAGCAGTACTTGTTGATATTGATCGAGATAACTGGCTTCCAAGAATTGAGCTTCAAGGTACATGAGGTTGTAGATGAACTTATATATAGACTTGCAAAATTTTTAATCATTTTCATTTAATACATTGTTTGTTAGTTAATCTATGTTTACATTCATTTTTCGGGAAGATTAGAGACGTATTCTGTCCATTCCTCCTTATCAGGGTTCTGAAAGTACTAATGTTTTCACGAGGACAAGAAAACTACATATTCTTGCACTTTTGCAATGTCTACTGTTTCAAGTATGTGGTTTATATTCTTGTTGATCAGACTCGGAGTGAATGGCGTTAGCGGAGGATTCCTATGAGATGATTGGATCTATCGTTTTCCTAGGTAGCTCTATGGTAGAGCTGTTGGTGCAGCATAGTGTATTGTAAGTTAAGCGTAAACAAAAAGATGGGGCAGTGGTACATTCATCATGCAGATGACAGTCTCCTGTTGCTTTTTGGTTTCTCTTCATGCATATTAATTTTCTTATTTGCTGTAAGTACCAATCTGTACTGAGGAGATTTAAAAATTCCATTATGGTCAGAAAATGGCGACGACAATTCAATCCTGGGGCTTTGCATTGACAAAGTATCCATGGATGAGAAAGTCAGAATTCAACTTGGAGTTGAGGAACAAAAGGACCTTTCGCCATTTTGCATCCTTTTTTGTCTTTCTCTTGAAGGAAAGCTCATTATGTTCAATGTTGCCTGGTATTCTCCTTTGCCCTCTCCTAGTTGCTTTGTTGATTGTGTTTTACCTTATTAAATCTGCTGTCAGCATGGTAGGCCTCTTCAGGTCACTTCTGCTACTGTGCCTGATGTGTTATTTCTTTGTAGTGTTGCAGAACAAACTGATTTTCCTGACACTGGCTGGCCGGCTGACGGGGAAGAGAATATTTCTGGAGTTGAAGCCCAAGAAGAAGTCAGTTCCACTGTTTCCTCAGGTTTGGGAGAGGTGATTTCACAGCAGGTTTCTACAGCTCATCAAATTCAGGACATCAACACAATAGGATACAACTTACCAAAAGATCGTGAGATTGCTGTTAAAGCTGACACAAAGTCTTTTGAGTCTGCAACAGCCAGACAAATAACTAATCAAACAGAGAGGAAAGAAGCTATAACCGGAAAATGGAATCTAAATTCATTTGCACATCCACAAGGATCTAATCTAATGGAGAAGGCTCTGGATGAAAAGCATTTAGTTGGCGCAGTTTCCACTCAGTCTCTCTTTCCAAGGCCCCAAAGCACATTTCTTGACCAATCAACATCGAAGCTCCCACTGCCTGAGGAAATACAGAACATCACAGAGAGCAACGAAGATTCTAAACAGATTGTAGGGGTTGGATCTAGTCCTTCATTTGTGGAAAAATTTAGAGTTAATTCCAGTACCACTGCTCAATTGATGCAAAATGATGTTCAGGCTGGTCAGAGAGTGGCAGCTGAAACAGCTTCACATGGTTTTCAGATATCTCCATCTCAGACATGGCTGAGTGGGAAAGGCACATCTTCAAAGAGCTTTGAATCAAGTTCTGCATTCACTTCAAATCAATTTGAAGGCAATAAGTTTCAAGCTGCCTTTGGTGTAGCTTCTTCCAATGTTCCAAGTACTCCTTTTGGAAATCCCATACCCAAAGAAGGTGCTGCCCCGCCTACTTCAGTCAACCTATCTGGTGTTCCAATCAAAGGTGGAGGACAGAGAGCTTCGAAGGAGTTCGGGATTATCGAGCCATTGCCTTCTATTCATAGCTCGCAGTTGCTGCAGGAAAGCTCTGCTTCGGGTTTACCATCTAGCCATCATTTGTATCCCTCCATGGATAACATAAAAAGTCTGCTCAAGACTGGGATGTCTAAGAAGGATCCAATCACATCAAAACAATCTGGCAATGTGAGATTCTTTTGTGATGACATAACCTCTTACCCATTACGTACTTAATCTTGGTTATGCAAAGTTTGTACATTTTGTGCATCTTCTTATCTTAACCAACAGTGCTTATCATGGGATTGATTGTTAAATATGGTGAATATAAATTCGCTTGCCATCTCTGTCATGATTTGACATAATTTTATTCTACTCATAGTTGATTTGTCACTTGAATACCTTAAGATTCTTTGTTTTTATTGCTACTTCATATGCTTATGACTTTGGGATTTTAGTCTTCCTGGTGTGGTGCAGGAAAGGGATTGTTCTGGATTTAGATGGTTTCTTGTTTATTAAGGACTAACTTTCATCGAATTTCCAGATCAAGGAGATGGTCAATGAACTGGACACACTTTTGGACTCTATAGTGCGGAAGGGTGGCTTTAAGGATGCATGTACTATCTCATTGAAAGGTCCAGTTGAAGAGATAGAAGACAGAATCGGGAATCTTTCTAGCCAATACATGATGTGGAAGGTATATGTCTAGGCCTCATATATTCCTTTGTGTTCACTTGCAGTTTCTCTTGTAGCTCAAAGTGCTTCATGTCTTGGAATTTTTTGTAAGGGTTGTCTTTTATTCAAAGTTCTGTGTCGCGTCCCTTCACTACTCTAGTATAATTCAGCTTATGTTCTTATGCATCTATGCTATGTCACTCTTCAGATGAAGTTTTTCTGATTGCTGGAAGCTTGGTAATTTTTTTGCGTCCTTTATCAATATAAGAAACAAGGACTCTGAGTTCCTTTCTGTCATGATATGGTAGATGCACGTATACTGAGGAGGTCACTTCTCGTTTTTCTATTAGCGCTTAAATTGCTTTTTTTTGTTCTCCATATCTGTCTCGTCATAGCTTCAGATGGTTGTAATCTACAATTATTTTGTACAGAGCTTTAATATGTTTTTTTAGTTCTTCCTAATTTCTCCCTTTTACTGTATATGTGGCTGTTTCTGATAATCTTGTTGTTTTTTTTTTTGGTAAGGTAATAAACCTGATAATCTTGTTGTTTTGCTCCTCTTTTATAGTAAATTTTGTACGTCTGATAATTTTGTTGTTTTGCTCCTCTTATATAGTAATTTATGTACGTTATATCTTTGGTTCCATCAACTTGCACTTATATATTACTTAGTTTTAGTGATTTGGACATTGTAGAGTATAGTGGAGGAACGACTTGAAGAAGTTCAAAGCCTACTTGACAACACCGTACAAGGTACTTTCAGTTTCAAGATTTTCTATAATTGGATGAATGTATGTAATTCATTTGGAAGCATCTATATATCATATTAAGGCTGTAGGTGAGTCACTGTTTTTGCCAATTTTATTCAACCAATTTGTTGTGTAGAAACGATATGCTGGTAAATAAAGTAAATTTCATCACAAGTGCAGAGTTAATTAACTATCTTCCTACTGAACTTTGTAGCCTAATTGTGTTTTTAGCCATTTATACTTTGTTTAACTGATGGAATATGTGCAACATTTAACCCTTTTTTTTGGGTCGAACAACTTTTCGCCCTTCATTTAGTGAAGTTCTGCTTCTGCTTTTCACTGGATTGTCTAAAGAAGGTAAGCTTATCGGCCATTTTTCACATGGCTTTCAGTTTTGGCAAGGAAAATGTATGTGGAAGGAATTGTTAAACAAGCCAAGGATGATCAATATTGGGAACTTTGGAATCGGCAGAAGTTGAGTACGGAACTGGAGATGAAGCAGCAACATATTTTGAAACTAAACCAGGTTAGGATCTCTTATGTATGTTGTTAATGTATATACTTCTGTTTGGATGAATTATACTGATTACGTGTTATATTCCAGGATCTGACTAATGAGCTGATTAAATTAGAAAGGCACTTCGATACTCTGGAACTTAACAAATTTGGTGACATAAGTGAAGCTCATGGAGGTCGAAGAGCTCTCCAAAATAGATACGAGCCTGCCAGGTTTGATTATATCTTGAGTTTGAGTTTAGCATATGGCCTTTCTCCTTTTGATGCCATTACTGCCATCCTATTAGAATTGCAATCTCATCTTATAGTTTCTTTGCAATCCCAAAAAATTGCTCAAACTGCCTGAGACTCTTCCACTGCTAGATTTTGCATAATTGAATATAGGCAGCCTTGCCACATTAGGCAGAGTTTGTCTGTTTCCATTATGTTTAATCTTTGTCTCAGCTTTGGTTGTGATGGAACAATTTTACCAGTGCACTCTGCTTATCATATTTGCTCTATGGCATGCTTTACACACATTTGAAGAAACTTGATGCACGATACATGGCTTATACTGTAATATGCAACACTAATTCAACCATTTTGCAGATCAATTCAATCCTTAAAAAGTTTATATAACACGATGACATCTCAAATAATGGCTGCCGAGCAACTTTCTGACTGTCTCTCAAGACAAATGTCAGTGTTGAGTATTGAGTCACCTTCAGTTAAGCAGAACGTTAAAAAGGAATTGTTTGATGAAATTGGCCTTGGATCTACTCCCAATTCGACCGCACCTAAGGGAAGCCCGTTTGGTGTTTCTTTTGGTAGTGCCGCAACAACCCCAACAAGCTATCCATTTGCTATGGCAGCACCTAGTGGAGAGCTGTTTCGCTCTGCTTCTTTCAATTTCCAGTCTCTACAATCTTCACAGCCATCACAACCACCAAATGCAAGTGCTTTCTCTGGAGCCTTTGGTACTCCAACAAATGCTCAAGTTCCCACTCAGAGTGGATTTGGTCAGCCATAACAGATTGGACCTGGTCAACCCGCTCTTGGATCAGTTCTTGGGACTTTTGGACAGTCGAGACAGATTGGCTCTGGTTTTGGAGGTGCTGGCTTTGCATCTTCTAGCAGTGTTGGTGGGGGTTTTGCCACTGCTAGTTCAACTGGTGGTTTTTCTTCCTCCGCCACTGCTGGTGGATTTGCAGGGGTTGGTTCTACTGGAGGTGGGTTTGCTGCTTTAGCATCTTCTGGCGGTGTTTTTGGTGGTATGGGTTCAGGCGGTGGTGGATTAGGTGGTGCAGCCTCAGCTGGTGGTGGATTTGGAGGATTTGCTGTGGCTGCTTCATCCGGTACTGGATTTGCAGTAGCTGCTCCTGGGGGAGGATTTTCGACTGGTGAGGGACTCTCTCTCTCTCTCTCTCTCTCTCTCTCTCTCTCTCTCTCTCTCCTTGCATTGGGTTGGGTATACTGTCTCCTCAACATAATACGTTGTATTGTGCAGGAGCTGGTTTTGGGGCGTTCGGCAGCCAACAAGGTGCAGGTGCCTTCTCTGCTTTTGGTGGTGGTGGAAATGCAAAACCACCTGAGCTTTTCACACAGATGAGAAATATAGTTTCAGCAGAGATCACGGGAACTTCAGAATGATATAATTACATAGGTTAGCAAAGTCAACTAATTATCTAGTGGCAGTACCTTCTCTTTTAATCCTGGCGCCACCAGACTAGTTCTCATGTACCACAATATGACAGCATGATGGTCTGCATATCTTTTGGCCGTGGCTTGCACTTGTTGTGAGTGCGCTTTCACTTGCGATTTTTCCTGTATAGCGGAAACATAGTTTTATAGGGATTGTTCTGGCAGGTATATTTATCGGTTAAAGACTGCAAACTTAATGTTACCCAAGGCAACGAAGTTTCTCTTCTTTTACAACCCTCCATGTCATGGGTTCTCAACTATATATATGATGCCCTGTTTTTCCTTTTTCTTTTTCAAAAATTGCGACGAGAATTTCATCGAATAATCAAGGAGATTGAGTAACGACTTGCTAATAGTTGCTCTACAGTAGATGAGATTGTATATTGCTGCAAAGACAGGCAAATTTATATGGATGGCTAATTACAGGAGGGAGTTCATGACTGATTTCATACAAGGACGACCAGCAAACTGTTGATACTATGTTAGAAGATTTCAAGCATCCAACATGTGTCGTGCTATGATCTGGTTGTTCAACCTGGTAACTGATCAAATCCTACTTGGGTTTGGATCCAAATTAGGTTTGAAACCCAAATTAGGTTTCAAGGCTTTGGGATATGGTAGATTGCTGATGAATCCATTTTACCCTCAATCAAACTTTTTGACAAATCAGCTTATTCGCTAAGCAATGAATCGAATTGACTCGTAACTGAATCGGACCATTCTTATTTTCCACGATAAAATTAAGTACTTAACGAAAAAGGCATGCCCTTTTTAGAATTCAGTGCATAAATTAAGTATTTTGTGAACACGCATCCAACATTCAACAATGATCTGGGAATAGATCTTCTTTGCTTTATGATATAAATCAGGTAATCAATGTCACGACACGAATGTTAGAATATCTCAAATTTTAAATTACGCCATTATCTAAAAGTTTAAGTTTTAAAATAGTTGGTAATGGTTATACGAAATTTTACATGGTATTGGACATGCTTCATTTATTATTATTTCCACCCTTAGTCTTAAGGCAAAAGTCCAATTTATGCATCGAGAGAAAGCGTTAGAACATCTAAATACTAAAATCACGCATTCATTTAACAACTTAAATTTACAAAATAATTGACAGTGTTTTTATAAAATTTTTGTTAGATAACAGTTGAGCATAATGTACGCACTAGATAGCCATCGAAACCTGACCAAATCGGAACGGAAGCAACCGAAGATGTAATGCGACGAAGCCGGCAAAAACCAATCATCCTACCCAGCCGAATAAAAAGCCGACTCCTGGGGCTTCAACTCACCGTGCTTCCGTCCTTCGCCTTGAGTCCCTCTCCGTCCGGCCATGCTCGAGATCTTTTGCCGTCCTCCAAGCGATCACGAAGCACAATTGTCGGGTTCGGACGTCGCTGAACGCCCATATCGTCAGTACATCCGAGACCCCCAGTTGATTTTATCTAACGAACACCTTCCAATCGCTCGTGAGAACATATACCTTGCTGCACCAATGCTTGAACAGCATAGGATACGTCTTCCCCTTCGTATTGAACGTCTTCACCTCTATGCCTGTGCCGGGATCGTCGCCGGTCCTGAGCAACGGGAGCACAAGCTCCCAGACGTGCTCCTTCACCAGCATGAGCCGGTTCTGCTGGCCCGCGATGTCGCTCGCCGTCACCCGCTTCTTGAACGACCCCCGGCATTGCCCAATAGAGTCAATCAGCGCGTTCACGAGGGGGACAAGCTGAGGGTCCGGATCACACGGCTCGCAGGTCGGGGGCGGCGCGCGTGAGCTGCTTGCCCGAACGTGCTCCGACCGCACATCTTCATCGCCCCTAGGTACATGATCGCCGGTGTGCTTCAATATGGAAAGAAACAGTGATGCTTGAAGCACTTCTTTGCTTTGGTTTTGACTTCTCTCCATGTCAAGTCAACCATTTCTCTATTCGCAGCTTCCGAAGCGATGTATGTAACATATTTATACTTAGATTTTGCCCAATTGATCTTGCCCTTTTTCTAAATTGAATAGGAAATATTTCCTAAAATAATATTCGGATTGAAATATTTTTACTTCATGCTGCTTGATGTTATCCTTTGCGTATTTAAGATATACTCCAGTTAGTCAGATCGAGTGAGTCTCGACATTATCGGATTTTCTTCGCGAGTGTCCTATTAAGCAAAGGGTTATCGGTTTCCAGAAATCAAGCTAAACCGACTGGAAAGGGGATTTTTCCTTTTTCTTTTTAGATTACTCGAATCGATTTATATATCGATTTTGAAGCGAACGCTCGATTTTTCAACAAGGGAAATCAATGGCTGGAATTTAGTGACATAATTTAGACTTATCTAATCAAAGAGAGGATGAATGTTACCTTTGGACTGCCGATTTGGCAATATAAAAAAAACAATAATACATTGAAAAGATTGTTCTGATTGATAAATGAGGTGTGGCCCCATCAAGCATCAACTAATTAGACTAAAAAAAATCACAAACATAATACATGTTTTTGTCAATTGACATGATACGCTCAATAACGGTAAAGACCAGATAGGATATTTAAATATAAAATCATGCGTTCTTTTAATAATTTTAGCCTTTTGAACAATTGATAGTGGTCATGCAAAATCTTTCATTATATGGGTCTAGAGCTCAAAACTTCGCCTGGCCAAAATAACCAAAGTCCAAATTACGTGTGACCATCTTGCAATTCAAGTCTAACGCAAGAAAAGAAATCACCAAAAGAAGAGATTCCCGTTGAGAAATCCACTATGAATTTGGAGAGCCTGGGGTCGCAATCGCTAAATTGCTCGAGTATTTTCCAGCCTAAATTATGAGCGAAACAAAACCATACAACTGTTGTAGAAAAGCTACTCGAACTAGAAAATCATTCAAAAGAGGAAACTTACTCAAATTAGGGAATCCATTTGGATCGGGGTTTCTTCACGAATTTAGGTTCGAGACGTATCCGATGGTCACCCTTCCTCGTGCAGATATAACCTGGACAAAGTGTGGATTGTATGGACAACGATGTCCACTGGCCTGTCCTCATATCCATGGAAACTCATCTATAATGTCATCAATGGATTCATAATTTTGCCTTTCTTAATTTTCATTCTGTGTGAAATAACTGAATTACGACAAAGACGCGTTAATTCGTGTCAGTTCGTGACAACGTATGAAGTAAGATGTGACGTGTTGTGTTCGGATTTTCTCTCAGTAGTTCGTGTTTTACATCTCTCGTTCAAGTCATGTAAGCGGATCGTGTCGAGCATTGCCAGCTCTGTCAAGCCCAATCTTGGATCAACTATGTCTGTGATAGACCGATCGTGAGGTGAGGAACATGTTAACACAAATCGAATAATCAGCAATTATCCCGGAGTAAAAATCAGTTGATAGCGGTATCACGAGATCCTAAATTTAAATCTTTTGTTTAACAGATAAAAGTGTAAGGACAGGTGATGATGGTCCTAAGAAATATTCACAATGGAGACAATGAATTTACAGTTAGATATCCGCAAAAAATACTGTAATCACCAAAATAGGCGCCAAAACTCGACGAAGTTGGAACGGAAGCTGCTGAAGACGAATGCGACGAAGCCGGTGAGAACCAATCGTCCTACCTAGCCGGATAAAAGCGCCTTTCGGGGGTTCGACTCGATGCGCTTCCGTCCCTCTCTTCGAGCCCCCTTTCCGTCTGGTTTTGTCCGGGCGCGTTCGGCGTCCTAGAGATCAGGAAGCACAAACGTTCAGTCCGAACGTTGCGAAACGCCCATATCTTGAGTACATCCGCGTCTTCCAATTGATTTTCTTCGACGAACGCCTTCCAATTGCCCATGAGGACGTATACCTTGTCGCACCAAATTTTGAACCGCAGAGGAAACGTCTTTCCCTCCGGATTAAACGCCGTCACCTCCACGCCTCGCGCGGGATCGTCATCCTCCCCGAGCAATGGGAGTATGAACTCCCGGACGTGGTCCTTCCACAGGAGGAGCCGGTTCTGTTGTTCTCTGAGGTCACTCGACTTCAACCGCTTCTCGAACGGACCCCGGCATCGCCCGATAGAGTTGATCAGCGCGTTTACGCGCCAGACAATGGGAGGGTTGGATCTGCGCAGCTCGCGAAGCGGCGCGCCTGAACTGCTCTCTGGAACGTCCTCGGATCTCGCAGGTTCGTCGCCGTCGGAGACACGATCGCCGGTGTGCTTCAATACGGAAAGAAACAGCGATGCTTGAAGGACTTCTTTGGCTTCATCACTTTGGCTTCGACTGCTCTCCATGTCCGACTGTTTCTCTGTTCACAGCTTCTGAAGCATTATATATAACATGTTACTAGCCAGGCCAGATAGAATTTGCACTTTCCTAAGGTGAATAGGAGTCCATTTGAAATATTTCCTAAAATATACTTAGCTAGAAGAGTTGCTGTTTGATATTATTAAGTTAGTCGGGTTGAGAGAGTTTGAACATTATCGGATTTTCTTCGTGAGTGTCCTATTAAGCAAGGGGTTATTGTTTTCCAAAGATCAAGCTAAACCGGCGAAATGGGCATTTTTTTCTTTTTAAAAGGGTTTAATACTATGAAAAACTTTAAATTGGTACATTTGTGACAAACCCTCTATTAATTTACGTTAAATTTTATCGTTAAATTGTGAAGTTGGACGACACGTAACAGTTGACGAGTGTACTAATTTGGGATTTATATCGGATTTTCTTCATGAGTGTCCTATTAAGCAAAGGGTTATCATTTATAGAGATCAAGCTGAACCGGCAAAAAATGGTATTTTTTTCTTTTTGAAAAGGGTTAACACAATGAAAAACCGTAAATTGGTACACTTGTGACAAACCCTTCGTTAATTTACGTTAAATTTTACTGTCAAATTTTCTGAGTTGGATGACACGTGATAGTTGATGGGTGTACCAGTTTGGGGTTTTACCTCTCTGGTTGTTACAGGTATACCAGTTTGTGATTTTTTTTTGTATTAATCTAATTAAATGAAAATTAGTAGAGGGTAAATATGTTACAAATGTACTAGTTGGGATTTTTTATGATCAAAAAATTAGTTTAAGATAAATTTATCACAGATATATCAATTTGAGAGTTTTTTGTGGTACTAACCCTTTTTTAAATCGATTTATATGCCGATTTTGAAGCCAATGCTCAATTTTTTCAACAGGGGAAATAAAAAGGCTATCTTTTAGTGACAAAATATAGATTTTTCTTACCAAAGAAAGGATGAATGTTA